TTTTTGGCAATTATGTTAGTGGTGATTATTAATTAGGGACATCTAGATTCATTCTTTAAAACCAACAAATAAAAACCACATTTGGGCTTATTGTTCACTAGAATACAAAGTAAAAAAAAAAATTCAAAACAATTTTTGCTATCTTACACTGATGCAGACAAAATGTCCTGCTTTGCCGCTTACTAGAGATCTTAAGCAATTGGGCAGAAATGTTCCTGTTACAGTGAAGTAAAGGGACTGATAAGGACTTGGGTTCTGCGTGTACAATTATCTGCTGCCTTTTTTGTTTGTTTTGCAGGAGAACTGGTAACATAATAGTTTTCAGAAAAATAGATGGAGATTTCAGAAATCTGAACACCAAGAACATTTTGTGGTATACTTTGGCAACGGAAGAAGAGCTTCGCCACTGTATCATACACGATTAACAAAGGCTGCATAAATCTAATAGCCTTTAGACTGCCAAGTCAAAATACCAGCAGAGGCAAGAAAGAATCATAACCAACTAGACCTTCAAAGCACAGGTGTTTCCTCTGCCCTACCACACAGGTCTTGCTAATCCAGTCCCATGACATGGAAAGATTTTTCCGCTGGCCTGAAACACGCCGTGGAAAACAGGATGGCCCAGGGAATGGCTAAAGCAGAAACGCACAGGCAGCGGGTTCTCATATGACCTGCCACAGCTCGTCGAAATCACTGTGTGTACCAGAGCGTGAAGCCCGAGTGAAACGTTTCACGTCTGCGCTGGTGCTGCTCAGCTTCAGCATACTTCAGAAATGGGCAGGTAACGCCTCTGACCTCAGGCACCCCCGGTGCTGCCATCCTAAACGTCACTAATACCATGAAGCTACATCCGAGGGGAAAAATAAAAAAAAGAATTTTTTTATTCCATAGTTTGAAGTTTATACTCCCAATCTCAGATTAAACTCCTGAGTATTTCGGCCTATACTACCTTTGCTCATATTAAAAAATATCATTCCTCACATGCCGTCTTCTTAATAGGCAATAACTCCCTTGAGGTTTACTGGGAATTAGGTTGCTAAAAATGTTTTCGGATTGCTGGAAAGTACAGAGGAGAAATATAAATAGGTTGAAACAAAAGAATAATGTGTGTTCACTCAGCTTTCTGCACATACCAAGAACAACAGAATTCTAAGAGAGGAGAGAAAAAAGAAAAAAAAAGCAAACAACAAACAAGCCTTGACTCGTTGCCAGTCCAGACGGCTGCCTTCACATCAACCATCAAGAAACCCCGCACGAACGTGCATCTCTTCTGCTCTCCCACAGTAGAATTAGAGCGGAGCCAGCCCATCTCCCCTCACCGGGAGCGAGGCCTTACCTGTGGAGTCAAACACAATCGGCTGGCAGTTTCTGTTGGAATTCCAGTTACATTTCAGCACCTGGCCTCCTTCTACGATGTTGTGCTGGGTAGTGTTCGCTTTTGGAGCTCCCACCAGAAGAAATATCCTGCAGTAAAAAGAAGAAATAAAACAAAGGTTTTGACACCTAAGGCACAGACGTTGTTACTTTATGACATCTGAAAAGTTAACAAAGCAAAAACCTTGCCCATTCAAATCTAAATCTGACTAGAACTACTTTGAGTTTCAGAGAAATTCCTAATAGGTTTTAGGCCTTGGGTCCCTCTTTTCTGCAAGCAAAAGCAGGCAAAAAAAACATTTACCAAAAAGCAGAGACAAAAGAAGATAAGAGAAAAAGGAAGTATTCTGTCCTACTTAAAATTACATTTAAAATTAGATAAACACATTTCATATTCTTTTTTTCCTTTCAAAAATATGCATGTATACAGCCATACAGGAAATCATGTACTTCTGTAATTCAAGAAAGTCACGAGCTGGCATAATTTCTGGTTAATTTTTTATGCAAGAGTAATTCAAGGAAGTCAGTCAAAAACGGAAACAATAGATAAACAAAACAGTAGTGCTTCTGAGCTCAGAAGGTGTTAAGTGGTAAGTCAGCTAAGTATTAGCAAATGCTCTTTTAAGAAGAATCTCCAAGTACCCAAGTACCTGTCAACCACAGGTTTGTACGTTAATGAATCTTTACTGAAATTCGGTACACAGGAATCATTTTCTCATTAAGATCTGTTGTACTTTTGTAAATCTCTGCCAATATGAACACGTTAAGTGCACTCTGAGCAGGAACTGCTATGAGATTATGCCTGTGCAGGTGGTAAAATTTAGAAGTTGCTAAGTAAGAAACAGACCGAATAAAAAGCCAGACCAAACAAGGTTCTCGGCATCTTCCAACAAGGTTATTAACATCTTTCAGGAACTCCGACACCTCTGAGACACACTTGACTCATCAGCACTTTCCTGAGGAAGTCAATTTGAAGTATAGACAAAGACTTATAGAAGACATAAAACTAAATGCTTCCTTTAATCAGAATCTGCCCTGTTGTTTCTGTTTAGACTGTTTAAGAGAGAACATAGCTTGCAAGAGCAAATCTTATCATCCCGTATCAGGCATGATGGTTATTTAGTTTTGAAATTGGGTTATCACAAAGCTGCAAGACTGGTTGGAGAGAGTGTCTACAGGCAGGCAGATCCAGACTTAACAAACTTGCTCTGGTTTTCACACTCATCTTCCAGACTTCACTGTAGTACAGAGCTAAGTTTATATTTCTTAACCTATACATACCAGGTATAAACACATAGTACCTCATCAAAGCTCTATTCATATGAAGACCAAGATAAGCTACTAGTTTTCAACCCACGTGAATTTTCAGAACCTTAAAAACTTCCTGGTGTGGACCCTGACAGAAAGTCCAGGCTAGCTGGCAATCCATTTGTATTCCTTCCTTGCCATTCATAGACTCTAGATACCAAGAACAAGAGTTTGAAATGCTTTAATCAACTTAAAATATTCTCTCCGGGCATAACAGAAATGCTTAAAAATAAACATCATAATCCCAAGTAAAGAAACACATTAATTATTATAATTACAATCTACTAAACAAGTGATAGATTGCCTCCCACTTTACTCTTGTATCACTAGCTTTTGAGTAGCCCCTCAAATTAAATACTTGTTTAAAAAAAGAAATCATTCCCATTCTAGTCATATATTTTAAATCTTTCTTAAGACAATCTTTGCGATGAAGTTTATTAACAAGATTACCCAATAAAGGAATCATTATGGGACTCCACAAAGGTTTAGTCACCTCTTTTCCCAAAGCAAAAAAAATAATGCATTGTTATCATCATAGACCAAATGAGCAGATTTTGTCATAGGTCATTATACTAACATACAAATTACCTAAACACAAAGAAGTCTCTAGTCCACATACTTTGGGGAAGGGGGAATAGAGGAAAAATCGTTATTTCCATGGGAATACACCAGCTATGCTTTCACACTGTCTATCTCCAACGTGATGTAACCATCGGCCCCAGCACAATGCTGTGGCCAGGACTGGGAGCGTACCGACATCCTCAGCAGTTCAACTTGGGCAGGCGTACTTACTAGGAAAAAAAAAAAACCACTCGCCAGTGCTTGGCCGTGGGCCAAGAAAGAGACACTGGTCTTTCCGTGCGCTTGTGTACTGGAAGACAGACTCTCAAATGCAGCTCTTTTAAAACATCGCGTGTATGAGGAATCTTTTTCAGTTTTTATAAAGTTATGTTCAGTCACTTAGTATTATAGTTATGTCCTCTGTCAGGCACCACGCAGCACCCCGACACAAGACGACCACTTTGACTCCTGGAATAGATCTTTCATACTGGACTTCTAAGTATGTTTTATTTTGGTATCCAGCAGGTCAAAATAAGCCTATGAAACAGCAGTTTGAGCATTCAACAACTAATAACACTCCTTTGTTGTCAGGTTAGTCCATCCAAATAACTTTAGCTCGACTAAATTTACTTAATCTCTAGGGCTCATGTAAAGAACAGGTGATAAATAAAATTCACCAGAGCAACAACAAAGGGGTAGGAACCAAGTGACACACGTGACACTCAACAGAAACCATATAACAAAGATAATTTTACTAAACACCTTTTGCTAATCATGCCGCAAAACAATTCGCTCCGTTTCCCACCTAACATTTAACTGCAGACATTGCTGAGGTCACCCTTCATCACTTCCTTTGCTTCCCCTCCAACAGCTTGGGGGAGTCCGCAGGCATCCCGCTCTGCACCCTGTCCGCGCTCATCCCTCTGCAGCAACGGGCAGGACACGGGCCTGTGTCAGGAGAACACTGCATACCACTATTTTGGGCTATTTCAGCAGGCAAACTATCAGTCTCCATAGGCATAATCTCAAAATTTAACACCATTAGAGCCTGTTCCTGTAAAAGTTGCATTTTGTTTCAATTATGAGCTTAAATTTAAGATAAAGTACAGTACTAAGGTTTAGCTTAGCAGATAACAGATTAACTTCTAGTCACACCAAAGAACTGTGAGGAAAGTTCCCTTAAAAATACGAAGGAGTTTTCCATGCTGTCTGAAAATCACTAGTGTGCAAAGTTTAAAAAAAAAAAAAAAAGGCCAACACTGTTTTCTTGTACAGCCATGCACTTTGAGGTCCATAGTTATTATAAAAATAACAGAAAGGTTCCAAATAGCCATTTCACCGAGAGCTGGGTCACATAATTCCTTACCAGAAAGCAAGGAAGAAAGTTCACTACAGGCATTTACCAGTCTCCTGATAACTTGGCAGCCACACATGCCGACTTAAAAATAAAGGGAGGGACACAAATAGAACCTTTTTTCTTTTAGTACTAAGACTTAGAGAATTAAGATAGCACCGAAAGATGTTGCAACACATGCAAGTTAAGACAGGATGACTTCTAACATTTGTAGGCAATAACGAAATGCAAACAAGGCTAGCAAAAAGACTTGCTCAATAGCTACAGAATTCGTTTGTAAAAGTTTTACGAGCTAAAGACCAAAAGAGAAAATCCCCTCAGCATGACGGAAGCCAGCAGACCTCCAGTTTTACAGTCGTTATCTTAAGATGGGAAAGGAGGGAAAAAAAAGTAGCAAAAGCTGGATCTTAACGTAGCCGCGCTTGAGAAATACAGACTAATTCATTGTGGCAACACCACCGCTTTGAAGTCAGCGACACGACTCTTCAAAAGTCTGAAACACACCAGCTACTGCAGGTTGCCTGATTTTCGTTTAGCACGAAATGAGAACGTCTTCAGGAAACAGATGTGGAGGGTTTTTACGTGGAACTTTTTCTTCTCTAGACCCCTCGGCGGCTTTGTGACCCGCACAGACAACTCAAACACAGCACTTCTGCAAAGAGCAGTCAAAAAAAGAGAACGGCAGAACTTCTGAAATTTCACGGGACAAAACCTCAGGTGCGAGACGTCAAAGCAAAACACCAAACCTTCATCTCTCTACACTGTATTTATCATCACCATTATTTGCATAAACCGCAGACTGATAAGGCCGTTCAGAAGCCCCAGCAGTGCAAAGTTTGTGCCGTGTCAGAGAGCCTGCCGACCGCAGGCAATCACGCTTCGCTTCCCGGTAGAAGGGTCTCAGCAGGCAGGGCCCCCCAGGAGGGGGAGGAGATGCCGCCCAGCCCGTGTGCCCGGCCCGGCACCGCCACCGCG